CAAAGCTGGTATGTGTTAAACATGGCATCATGCGTCAAACGAACTTGCCGGATAACATCCTTTCTAAAATTTCTGACTTGATTTGTATCTCTTGGCACATTTATCTGATGCCTGGGACCTCCTGCGTAAAATACATACAAGCTATTATAATAACTAAAACAACAACAAAGCATACATGCATTTAGATGGAAAATGTAATTTTATGACAATTACCTTCATCCTCATTGACGAGTTCATGATACACTTTCTGTGGAGGCTTTAAGGCATCCTTATCTAGTATCTGCATTAACAAAAAATTGCAATGGAAAAGGTTGCATAATTAATTTTGCTAACTTTTTCCTTGACACGAGGAGCAGAAGTCACAAATGGCTTTGTATTAGTTTTACTACTTCGGTGCTTAAAACTCTTGAATATTGAGTGATCTCCAAAGTAATGAATAAGAAAAAACTGTCCAACACCCCAATATTCTTGCCGCCTAAATCTTTTATCACCTTCACCTTTCTTTTTTTCTTTAATGTCTATGACATTATTCTTTTTTGTGAGGCCATCATTACCAACTGGATATGTTCCCTTATGCACCCATCTGTATTGATCACATCTGGGGGCATTTATAGAAGCACAACATAATTTAATTTTCACAATACATAAATATAACAGGTAATTTCAAAAATTTAGCAACATACATGTATTGTACACATAAATGGAAGTGTTGTATTAGTTAACTATAACTAAATCTATTTTAGTACAGCAAAAATTGTGATTTTAGTTAACTAAACTATAATTCTTCCATTTGATATCAAAGTAACTGGAATCATAGCTTAAATGACTTGCCAAAACTATAACTAAATAGAATTAATAGTTTTGTACTAGTACTAGCCACACCTACACGTTAATCGAAATCTACTTCTACTGTATAGCAGGAAATTTTCGTGGCCCAAAATTTTCGAGGATTTCATGTTTTTTCAAAATTCACGAAAATTATATCCGCAAAAATCAATTTAATATTTAATACTGTTCAAGATGGCTGAAAAGTAAAAAACCACGAAAATTAAAGGTCCGAATTGATTTTTAGACAGTATTAATCATAACTAATATAAACATGCCGACGCTTTACTATAGAACCGGAACTAAATATACTTTGTTCTAAAGTACCATAACTACAACTGAAATGTTTTACAACTACACTGATAGATAAATGTGCTTATACACAATGCACATGCAGGCATGCACTACCTCAGTTGCCTTTTACGTATATTCCATTTCGAGTCATCATCCCCTAAGTCATACAAAAATACAGTACCTCCATGTGGCTGAACAGGAGGTGCAGAACTAATCATTATGTCTATACTTCGTAGAAGCATCATCAAAGAACTCAAGCACCTCACTGACATCTAGTTGTTCGTCAGCATCAGTTTTAATTGGGATTGCTCCATCCTCAGGCATAGGAGGAATACCATCACTTCTTGTCCTAGTCACTGACTCTTCTTCTGTCCCTGTCTGTTGAGTAATAAGTCGGCGACGTTTCCTCACTGGCTGCTCAAAGTCGTCTTCATCTGACATGCTTGCCATGACAATACACGTGTATAAAGAAAAACACTGGAACATGCGGGATAATATCCAGCATTTACCAATAAAATCCGGCTCCCAATGTCCGGATCCCCACCCCGCTTTTACCTATGAAATCCCACTCCCCATCCGGATCCCCACCCCGCTTTTACCGATGAAATCCCAATCCTGATCCCCATCCCCACCCCGCTTTTACCAAGTCCCCTAGGTGTCTACAGTGTCCTAGGTGTCCACAGTGTCCTAGGTGTCCACAGTGTCCACAGTGTCCTAGGTGTCTCCAGTGTCCTCAGTGTCTCCAGTGCCCTCAGTGCCTCCAGTGTCCACAGTGTCTCCAGTGTCCTCAGTGTCTCCAGTGTCCTCAGTGCCTCCAGTGTCCACAGTGTCTCCAGTGTCCTAGGTGTCCTTAGTGTCTCCAGTGTCCACAGCGTCCACAGTGTCCTCAGTATATAGCTGTCCTTGCATGTCCCTAGAGTGAAATGTCATGCAGCGTTTAGCAGTATTTTTAATATAATCTTGTTTATTTAACAATATTTGAACATGGAGGAGCTGAAGTTCCTATAAAAATTAATGTACATTTCATTTTGGAAGAGATTGTTTGTAATCCCAAAGTACATGAATCAAAGATAACATGCACTGATTATATTGATATTTGTAATACTTTTGCTACTATACTAGAATTATTATTAATAACTTGGATGGTGCCATGGGGAAGGCTAAAAATCATGATTGCACTGAATTTGAGTTACAGATCTAAAGATTTCTTATTTTACAATGGAAATTAATTGAACTTAATTAATGAAGTAATTAAAATTAATGTTAAATTGTTAATTTGTTCTTCTTTTTTTGGAACTTGGAGTATAGAATTTGCTAAAGTTGTCCTTTAGCTTATCATGTCGCTTCACTGCAGTCTTCCCTTTCTTTGCCAGACCTGAACGTAAAACAGAAAATGAATTAGGCCAGTATATCTCTTGTTATTCTTACTTTCGACTATTTCTTTCTTTGGCTCGTTT